TAGTTTGATTATATTCAGTTCGATTTGTCCAGTTCAACTTCCGCCATATCGATTTTCAATATTTTCAAACTGGTTCTCTACATTCTTTTTTTAAAATAAAAAGTGTGAAAAATATCTCACATTCTCTAGATTTTTTTTTTTCAATAAAAAATAACGTGTAGATAACAAGGTACCAAAAAAATGGGGTACCGCCCCGTAAGCAATTTACAAAATAGTTAATATGTCAATGATATCCCCAAAATCTTCATCCCTTACAATATTATGACCTAGCAAACTAAACCCAAAATAATTAATTCACTTATCTCTTAATTTATACAACCCTAACTCTTTCCCATCGAAAACCCTAACATTTCTTTCTTTCCAAATAACTAAAAAAACAGACAAAGTAATCAAATTGGCAACATTACATTTGTTGATCAGTCCATCCCAAGCCCATATTTCCCCCCTCACATTCCCAGAAATCACCCAACTAATCCCCAAGAGCTCATAAATATGCTCCATAAGCTGTGGGCAACAGGATACCATAACAACAGGTGATTACAAGATTCCTCAGCATACATGCAAAGAGAGCATCTATTAACAATAACCTATCCCCTCACCCTTAAGTTGCCGAAAGTGAGTATCTTTTCCCTACATGTTTCACATGCAAAGAAAACCATTCTAGGGGGCACTTTAGTTTTCCAGATTTGCTTATAGGGAGTTCCAAACTTCCATCCTCCTCCCCACCAACCAGTAAGCTATAGTATGATTGGACAGAAAAATTACCTCTTTTCTCAAGACTCCACAGGAAGTCTGCCGCCGCCGCCGTGGCTTCCTTCGATTTTTGCCTCCGATGAGGCCCTTTCCGGTTCAGTTTGATGCAATTTTTACACCACTTGATCACCGTCCTTTTCTCTACAGGTTGACCGGAGCAAAACATCAAACCGCGACTTGGGCCGGAGAAGCCGCCGCACCCGAGAGCTCTGCCGCCGGTAAGTCTCGATTTTTCGTGATTTTTTTGCCCACCAAGGGCTTTAGGGTTGTTTTATCACAGGAACCAATTCAATTTTGGCCAAATTCGGCCGAAAACGGCCAACCCAAGGCGGATTGCCACCTCGGGCGGCGGTGCCGTCGCCGGAGCACGGCGGAGCCGCCGTGCCGGAATCCGATATTTGCCAAAAAGGGGCCCTGAGTCTGATTTTGGGTTTTTTGGGACACGTGCAGGTACCGGTAGTGCGTTTCAGTTTTCCGGAAAAAATTCAGGGAATTTAGGGACAGCCCGTAAGCACATTGTAGAGCCGATTTCAGACCCCGAAACAAGTAAGGATCTCTCACCATATTTCGTATCACAGCATTAAAGCCTAATAAATAATAAAACAGTATTTTATGACTTAATAGATATATATAATTGATTAAGGTTGCCAATGGAGCCCGAATCTGATATATTGTCGATCAGTTGTTGTTTGATCTATTTTATAGTTTTAAATGCAGTATGGTATTTGATGTATTTATCTTATGGTTTCGTATGCATGAATCATGATTTTTTTTATTATGGTTTGAATTATGGTGAACCCGATATTGTGTTGTTTTGTTTGGTGTTCATTATTGGTTTACGTGTTTGTGTATGATTGAAAAATTGAGATCAAGAAAAATGGGAAAAAGGTTATGTGAATTGATAAATGGATAATGTGGACAGTCTGACTAGATATCCTGGGAGATGGTGGACGGACCGGATCCGTAGAGAAGCCTACCGGGAACGTGGTCTCTCATATCGGACGAGGTATGGAGATCTTATGTGTTTTGGCGCCCATACCGGACGGGGTATGAGGACGGCCCGTTTTACCCTCATACCGGATGGGGTATTAAGGTTTATGGTTTTGGCGCCCATAGCGGACGGGGTATGGAGACGGCCCGTTTCACCCTCATACCGGACGGGGTATTGAGATTCATGGTTTTGGCACCCATATCGGACGGGGTATGGAGACGGCCATGGAATCAGATTATTAATGTTAATGGTTCACGTGTAGCGGGGACCCCCCATGGATCCCCATGTGTACTAGTAAGCTGGTAAAATAGGAAATTTGTTGTCTGATTATTAGAGTGCAAAAGTATAACATGTGTTATGTTACAAAGTGTATATGATTTTATGATGGTTATAATGTTATTATTTCTATATGTTATTTTCACGAATCACACCGAGGTAAGTGGACAGTAAAGATTTTTATCATTAATAAATGAGTTTGTTATAAATTATGCTCTATTGGTCATTTTTATTTTCTACCAACCTTTACTTCTGTGGCAATGAGATAGTATGATATCTTTACTGGACTAGTGTAACTCATTACTTACTTAACCATTTCAGATCAGGAAGACGTAGTTCCCGAGTTCGTTCCGCAAGAATACGGCAAGTTAGACACCTAAAGATTTTATAATTCTATTTATAGTTTTTATTTCAAGTATTTCTTTTAATTAGCTTATTCTTTCATACGTTGAATACGTTTATGGTTATTGTGTAAGGGATGTTAATCAGAATTTTTATTTCGTTTCCGCATTTAAAATTTTTAATACATACATCTTCATTTAAATTTCTGGGGTCATTACATAGCCCACCCCGTTTGCTTTACGGGTTGTTTCTGCGCTACCCGAATCATCTTTCCATCCTTTCCTTTCAACGCTATCGTATAGGATTTCGACTCGCCAACATCCATCATAAAGTGGATCGGGGTTTTACAGTGGGGACAATTAAAAGAGGCTCTCCAAGGGGAATTCGTCTTTCCCATTTTCAGTCACACCTAAGGAGGAACCTCCCTAACTGGTTTTTCCATTTTCCCAATTTTTTTGAATGGATGGTTACCCAATTCGGACACCGCAACAATAAGGTTCCACCACCCCTTCCCATCCACGCCCCTTGGGAAGAAGATTCTCTTTGCCCTTTGGTTCCCATGTACTATCAATACGATATAGTCGCCCCTCCTGTTCTGCCCACTGGTCAACAACAATTCATAGTTTCTCCTCATGCAGTGTTTCGCCCAAACACCTTGCTTCTTCCTCCACCAAAACTCATGTAGACCATCTAAAAACCATTCGAACTCCCCCTTGTCAAGAAATATAGTTCTTCGGAATCCCTTCCCATTCTCATAAATCCTCAACACCTCTGCCCTTTTGCCTTCGCATATCACATCAAAAGACTTCTTTTTGCATGAAAAGAATCTCCTCCCGTACGCACTCATGAGATCCTCCGAGGGCGGCCAGGTTGGCTAACCCACAGTAATGGAGCGGACCCGATAAAGAGCACAATGTTAGAGAGGGACACACACATTCTCTACATTCTTGGGTGTGAACTTTCACTTTTTGAGGTTAGTTCAGTCGAATTCATAGTCTATCTCACTTTTCTTTTGGTTGGTTGATAATTTCGATAGGTAAATAACTGCTATTTATGCACTCAACAAAAGTTATTTAATTTAGGAATGAACGTTTAAGTCTCCTAATCAAATTGATGGAAGAGAAAATGAACGCAATGCTAGTAGCTTTATGGCATCAAGTGGAGAAATGCTCGGAAGATGGCTTCTGGACATTGATTATATGCTTATTAACCCTTGTCACTTAACTAGTGAGCTTCTTCAACTTTTTAGTCAAGTATTGTCCCTCAAGATATATCTTTGAGTCATCTAAGTCAATGCAAGATGCAACTTATCCATTATTAAAAGGATTAGTAGGTGATCAACTTCTCAAGCACGCTAATTCAATGCGAAAACTTAAAGTTATTTACTGCATATGTCAATTAAACTAGAAATAACTAGACCAGATGTTCCTTATGACGATACACAAGTCAAAAAAAGGTTTTTCAACTAGGTTGTGTCCATATTTAAGTTATTAAATGACTGGACAAGGCAATCACATGCTAACGAGATCTTAATTCTTGAAATAACTTGCAACTAAACTATATCTGATGATATTGAACCTTGATTGTGAAAAATTAATCATAGAAAAGAGTCTCTCTGACCGCAATGGAAGAATGTTCTCTCAGACATGGAAGAGACCATGATCACACTTTTAAAAGAAAGTGATTGTATCTTACAAGAATGAAGAGGTGCAACCATCTCTTCAATCAGTTGTTCAAAGAGAATTAAATCTGCCATCTAAAACAACTTTAGATTAGTGATTTCATGCAGGACAGTGGGAGCTGCTCCTCCATTGAAGGACCTTTCCGCAACCAATTCTTCATGGGACATTTCTAATGACATCTTGATCAAACATCACACTTGAGTACACCTATCATCATGAATAAAATTATCATCTACTAATTCAGACAGAACTCTTCTATAAAAGATTGGAGGTTCTCCTAGACAGGTCTCTTCATAGGCTGGCAAGGCCAGAAAGACTAGTAAGTGCATGGCTTGTTTGCTTCAGGACTTTATGTTAGAAGACCTTGTGACCAAGTCCCAAGTCTGAGACCATGAAAGGCATATTTAGTCTCCTTGACAGAACCAGACACAAGGTGTCACTTTAGTTGCAACTCAAATTTGCAACCAAACTTGCCAGCAATACTAATGACTATTCGTTCCTATTTTTTCCCTAAGACTCCGAATAGTATCACATAAGTCATAACAAAGATCTTGAGCCTAAGGAGTAACTTTGCAAGAATTACCACAAAGATTACACACATATGAGACTTCAGGGAAAAAATAGTTATTTATATTAAGTTGTATTAACATTCAAAAGCAGCTGACAAAAAAGTCTAGAAGAATTATTTACAACGTCTAACGAACAAGTTTGGGAAGGTTTTCCAGGTGAGTGAGAAAAGGAGGAGGCTGTCGATAGGACGACGGAGGCAGGGAATGAAGTTGTGAACTGCGTAGGCCTAGAAAGAAAAGTGGAGGCTGAGCCCGAAGCTTCTCCCCAGTGGCCGCTCCGCCACTCTCTCCCGGATCGAGCCCATTATTCTCAGTAACATTAGTATATATATAACATACTCACATCATTTACAGTAAACTTACATATATATATACATATCATTTTACCTGCCTTGGTGTAATTGAAAGCACTTATTTTCCCATGGCTGGAAGATCCCAAATCATCAAAATCTGATACATAAAGACATGCAGAATTACAGAAAATGCATTCCTCAAGTGAATCTGAAACAAAATGAAAAGAGAAAAGAAACAAATAATAATCACATAAAACATAATAAAGAAAAGGAAAAGTGCATACCACCACGTATAACAGCCTCACTCCAAAACCTACTCCTTTCTTTAAGATTAAACAAAGAAAACACCGATGACCTTCCTGTTCTACCAGTTCCAGACGGTGATCCAAAAGTACTAAATGGTAGAATCTGGTAAAACATCAAACCAAATATCAGCATGGACACCTTTAGAGCATCATAAAAGAGATCAATTTATGCAGTGGGACAAGTAAAGCAAACCTCAAAAACATTACTACATTATCAGATACCCACGAGGATAATATACTTTCACTCAACTATAGACCCAACAGTACATTTGTATGGATAACAATTTATAGATGAGGAAAATATAGAAAACAGGCAGTTTAAAGTTGCATAGAAAGAACTCAAATTCACGTTCCCAAATTTAAAGGAGTGAATCAAACAAAGTGCAACCCATTGATGCCCCCTCGCAGAAAACTAATTTCATTCCTTCTACCTGCTCTAGATGCACCTTAAAAAACCGCAATTTATCATTTCTTTTCTCGACTACGAAACATGACCAGTCATGATTTTACACGCATACGCATTGTAGAAATGAATGAAATGGATTCGAATTTAAAAGGAAATTAATCAATAGACGAGTTGATTCCAACGGTTACCAGTAGAAGACCACAGATAATGAGAATAGAGGTAGTAGCAGAGCTACTACGATTACGAGTTAGTGTCCAATCCATCTTCGTCGTCGTCGTCTTCCGTGGGAGGGAGTCCACGCACTCCTCACTTCCCGAGGAATCTAGAGCACAGACTACAAAATCGAGTCTTCGATGGCAATAACCCCGTAAGGGTTTTATTTTCCCCTTTTCACGATAATTTTCTTACAATTGAAAGTCTGAATTACAATATCCCGCTTCTACAAGTCGGACGCAGAATTAATAAATTTAAGAAATTATGGCAAAAACGGAATATCATGATATTGATTTACACCATCTTGTAGTTTTTATGAAGTAATTAATAGATAATTCAGATCGAGATGATGGGCCAGACTCTCATCTAGCCGTTCAAAATTCCAGTTGATTACAAGATCTTGTGAGGCCCGCCGAACAGCCTCAA